TGAGGACCTCGGAGGACCAGGAGTTCAAAGGCCGGCCTGGGCAAACGTTGTGGAACCGCGTCTCTAAAATAAAATAAGAAAGTAGAAAAAATTAGCACGGGCATGGTGGTCTTTCACATGGATCCCAGCTACTGGCGGAGGCTGAGGCAGGAGGGCGATCGCTGGAGCCCAGGAGCTTTGGAGGTTGCTGTGACGAGGATTGGTGCACGGTGCTCCAGCCCACAGAAGAACTTGTCTCAAAAACAAATAGGAGGCCGGGGGCGCGGTGGCTCACGCCTGTAATCCTAGCACTGCTGGGAGGCCGAGGCGGGGCGGCGATTGCTCAAGGTCAGGAGTTCAAGACCAGCCTGAGCGAGACCCGTCTCTACTTATAAAAATAGAAAGAAATTAATTGGCCCATCTAATATATACTATTACGTTATATACTATATATAATATATATATATAGCTATAAATTAGCCGGGCATGGTGGCTCTGCCTGTAGTCCCAGCAACTCGGGAGGCTGAGGCAGGAGGATCGCTTGAGCCCAGGAGTTTGAAGGTTGCTGTGAGCGAGGGCTGACGCCACTGCACTCACTCTAGCCTGGGCAAGAACAGCGAGACTCTGTCTCAAAAAAAAAAAAAAAAAAAAAAAAACAACAAATGAGCTTGCTTCTGCTTTATTAACATTGACATACTTGGCTTCTATCATGGAAATGGCTTTTGAAATGTACGTTTTAAAAAGGTGCAATGTAGTAGGTGTAAATGTGCTGCATTTTGTAATTGCCTGTTTTTCTTTAAATGTGTCTGTAGTTATCCATGAAATATGAGAATATTTAACATTATTGAGGGTTTACGCTTCCATGCACTATATGTATATATATGTGCCATGCTATATATATATATATAGTCTCTCATATATATATATATACAACCTTATTTAATTCTCTCAATAATTGCAGTTAGTAATACTATTCTAGGAATAAGGGGCTAAGATGCCCAACATCCCGTAGTTCTAAGGAGTAAGAGCCGAGACTTAAATCCAGGAGACTGACTTTATTTTATTTATTTTTTATTTATTTTGGAGACAGAGTCTCACTCCTGTCACCCTGGCCAGAGTGCCGTGGCGTCCAGCCTCGCTCACAGCAACCTCCAACTCCTGCGCTCCAGCGATCCTCCTGCCTCAGCCTCCCGACTAGCTGGGACTACAGGTGTACCCGGGTAATTCTTCCTATTTTTGGTAGGGGCAGGATCTCACTGTTGCTCAGGCTGGTCTCGAACTCCTGAGCTCAAGTAATCCTCCTTCCTCGGCCTCCCAGAGTGCTGGGACTCACAGGCGTGAACCACCGTGCCCGGCTCTCCTCTTTCGTATTTAGCCCGATATTTCCCAAAGTATGAAGTTTTGGAAGGTTAATTGGGCAGAATATTAGTAGATGATTTTATTTATTTATTTTTTTTTGAGACAGAGTCTCACTCTGTTGCCCAGGCTAGAGTGAGTGCCGTGGCGTCAGCCTCACTCACAGCAACCTCCAACTCCTAGCCTCAAGCGATCCTCCTGCCTCAGCCTCCCGAGTAGCTGGGACTTCAGGCTTGCACCACCATGCCCGGCTAATTTTTTCTATATATATTTAGTTGGCCAATTAATTTCTTTCTATTTTTAGTAGAGACGGGGTCTCGCTCTTGCTCAGGCTGGTTTCCAACTCCTGACCTGGAGCGATCCTCCCGCCTCGGCCTCCCAGAGTGCTGGGATTGCAGGCGTGAGCCACTGCGCCCGGCCTAACTGCATATTTCTGAATAAGTATATTCGCAAAGTTCAAAGTTTGAAAACTGTCTTTTTCTCAGCCCTGTCTCCCAGACAACCTGCTACCCAACTCCAAAAATATCCAAGGTTTTTGCTTCCTTAAGTGTCTTTCCAAGGATGTGTTTTGTCGATAAAATTTGTGTTTTTACATCTATTCTGTTTTACCCTTTGTCACGTGATAGCACGCAACACACACTGCTGTGTACCCTGCCGTGTTGGATAACCCTGTGCACGTGTCACTCTACCCATTGGGAGCATGTCCGGAGGATGCATTCCTGCAATGGAATTGCTGGGTCCAGGAAAAGCTACATTTGTAATTTGGACAAATGTTACCATGTTGTCCCTTGAGGTTGTGAAAAATCTTCTCATGGTTTCTTCTAATATTTTAATGGCATGGCGTTTTTTTGTCTTTGTTTTCCATTTCACTCTAGATCCATTTTAATTGATCTTGGCTTACCGGATAGTTAATAAGAAAAACAAATCATTTAAAACATCCGGCCGGGCGCGGTGGCTCACGCCTGTCATCCAGACTCTGGGAGGCCGAGGGGGCGGATTGCTCGAGGTCAGGAGTTCGAACCAGCCTGAGCAAGAGCGAGACCCGTCTTACTATAATAAAAAGAATTATTGGCCAACTAAGTATATATAGAAAAAAATGAGCCGGGCATGGGGTGGGATGGCCTGTAGTCCCAGCTACTCGGGAGGCTGAGGCAGGAGGATCGCTTGAGCCCAGGAGTCTGAGGTTGCTGTGAGCTAGGCTGACACCACAGTACTCACTCTAGCCTGGGCAACAAAGCCAGACTCTGTCTCAAAAAAAAAAATCAAACTTTTCAGTCGTAGTGGAAACTCGAGTGCAGCTGTCCCCATGTGCCAGATGGGAGGATCTAGATGCAAACAGGACGCCTTGCAGAGAAAGGGTCAGCTTACACACCAAGCGCCCGGCCGTGGACTGCGCTGGCTTCCAGAATCTTCTACACACTTGCAGGTGCACGGGCAGACCCCAAGAGCCCCATTCCTATTTGACATCTTCCAGCGAATCTTTCCCTCCCAAGGAACTCGGGGTAGTGCTGGTTGCATTTCCCTTCTGGAATAGTGTAAGTGGCTTTAATGCTCAAACAGAAAGCAGCAGAGAGCCCGGGAGCGCTGGGCGGAGGTGCCCGGGCGCGCGAGCCGCCGTGCACAGAACGCGCGCCGCCCCTGCAGGGCTCCTGTCCCCGGCCGGCCACTTGCAGGTCAGCCTGGGCAGCTGCACGGGGCCGGCAGACGGGTTTGCACAGCTGCCCCCAGTTGCCGCCAGCAGCCTGCCCCTCCCCGGCCCGGCCCGCTTAATATAGAGCCGGGACGGCCGAGCGTGACCGTGACCGTGACCGCGACCGCTCCGGCTGGCCAGCAGAAACGCCGCTGAGGTCCTGGGGGAGCAAAAATATCTCCACAGTGTATTGACCTGGAGCACTCGGTAGCCGTGCGACCTTCTCGAGGCTCTTTTATTTCTTCTTCTTTAAAAAAAAAAATCATCTTTGGCTATTTCTTCTTTTGCAGTCAGATAGAAACATCTAGAAAAAAAAAAAAAAACAACCCATGATGTCAGAGCACAGCAGGAATCCGGACGGAGAAGAAGCGGTTCCTGGCGAGGAGATTGACGAAGATGAGATCCTGGCCAGCCTGTCCCCCGAGGAGCTGAGGGAGCTGCAGTCGGAAATGGAAGTCATGGCTCCTGACCCCGGCCTTCCCGCGGGAATGGTCCAGAAGGACCAGACGGACAGGCCGCCCACGGGGAGCTTCGACCACAGATCTCTGGTGGACTGTATGTACTGGGAAAAGGCGTCCAGGCGGATGCTGGAGGACGAGCGGGTCCCTGTCACCTTCGTGACGGCCGAGGTAACCAGGGTGAGACAGAGAAAGAAAGGGGCCGCCCGGTGTCCCCGCTGTGACTGTGGTTTCTCAGGACTCCGGGATTTTTTTTTTTTTTTTTTTGAGACAGAGTCTCGCTTTGTTGCCCAGGCTAGAGTGAGTGCCGTGGCGTCAGCCTCGCTCACAGCAACCTCAGACTCCTGGGCTCAAGCAATCCTCGTGTCTCAGCCTCCTGAGTAGCTGGGACTACAGGCATGTGTCACCATGCCCGGCTAATTTTTTTTTTTTTGTATATATATTTTTAGTTGGTCAATTAATTTCTTTCTATTTTTAGTAGAGACGGGGTCTTGCTCAGGCTGGTTTTGAACTCCTGACCTCGAGTAATCCACCCGCCTCGGCCTCCCAGAGTGCTAGGATGACAGGCGTGACCCACCGCGCCCGGCCTATTTAGCTGTTTTAAACATAATTCCTTCTTGCATGTTTTTTTAATCTGAAAACTACAATTGTCTTTGATTCTACAAACTTGTCGAATATCAGCATTTTTTTTTTTTTTTTAATGTTGGACTTGAAAATGACTTAGCAAAAAACAGCACACAGATCCCTTTAGGTAAAGTCTGTTCCAGCTATGCCCACGGCCACGATGGCTGTAATTAAGAAAGGAAAGTTGGGCCTGGAATAGTGGCTCTCGCCTGTCATCCCGGCACTCTGGGAGGCCGAGGCGGGAGGATCGCTCGAGGTCGGGAGTTCGAGACCAGCCTGAGCAAGAGTGAGACCCCGTCTCTACTAAAAATACAAAGAAATTAGCTGGAATACTAAAAATATATAGAAAAAATT